CACTCTTTCAAACTAGAGGCATCTGGAGAAAGAGAAATTGAAGTTTATCATTAGAAAAATACGCTGTGATCCCTGGCACAAGCAACGCCAGCCTTATTCAGCATCACAGAAAACAGCCTCCCCTCTGAACTTGGTCATCCTGCAGGCCATCATGCTTCCAGATGTCCCAATTCAGGGAGCTAATTCACACTGCTCAACAGAAGAGAACACAGCTTAGGAACGAAGGAGGCAGGAACAGGACGCTGATGGCTTTATCAACGGCATCGGCACAGGAGGGGGGCAGATATGTTGAAAGTATCCAGTTTGTGATGAAAGGGGAAACTTGACGGATGATGTTACGGAGCTGGTCAACAACAACAACAAAATCTGGTGGGTGCCTTTCTGCAACAGTCACACAAGCACACAACGTGGTGGGAGGACATTTTAGCTTACCCAATATATTCCGGAAAAAAAATCTGGTAAGACACAAGAAAGTCAAGACAAGAGTTCATGAACTTCCAAAGGGGAAGAGGGGAGAATGGCACATCCCCCTGTCCATATTTCTAAAGAAAGAATTTTATAAATGTAGACAATTAATACATAAGATTTTCTGGAAGACAAGGGGAGCGAGAAAAGGAAGAAAAAGACAGTAGCTCCTTACAGGAAAGGAAGTTTCCTCAAAGGAAATAGGCGTAAGTGCATAAAAGACCAACAATCACAGTAATAGATCCACTTGGAGAAATTGCAGATAAATCAGGTTATTGAAAAGAAAGACAGAAAAACAGCAAAGCACAAGAAAAAGAGGCACAATGAAGACAATGAATTTGCAATGTGACATATGAATATTAATGAGTATAAAGGAAAAACAACTATCATTCATGAGAAGACAGACCAAAAAATTGTTTGCCAACTATTACTTAACTCAAAGACTTAGCGGAACATCTGGCAACAGAAGATGCTAAGAAACCCAAACTGTAAAATGTTCAATTTTAAAAATTCTATCTAACGGTACGAAACACGAATACTGGGACTGCCTGGGAGATCGCAGAGCTGCCACCATCAGTGCATCCTCAAAGGCCGTCAAAACCAGGGCAGGGTCAGGAACACTGTAAATATATTTGATTCCGCCCTTTAACAAGAGACAAGGCCAAATGGTCTCCTGATGTTTACTGCAGACTGGTTTTCTGATTTTGTATGATGCAATGCAAGAGAACAAAGAGAGAATTCACACACAAAACTATCTGTTAAACGGTGGGAGGGACAATTCTCATTACAAACCTCCAGGATCAGGGGAAAAAAAAAATATCTCTGAAAAAACATGTTCATCTCACGCTTCATCTCTGAATGTTTCCTTCTATGTAGCAGTGTTACAGAAGAGAGTGGGGAAAGAGAGATGCGTAACATTAACCATATTCTAAAGATCAGAAAGTTTTAATTTATTTATTGCTTCAAAGAATGTAAGACCGAGTAGCTTCAGCGAGGTCCAAGGTACTATTACTTGAGTGCGTAAGCACTTTCCGAATCAAGAACAGAAGCCAGTTCCTTCAGCAGTTTTTCTACAAGTTCAAAGTGGGCTCTGAAGCGAAAATTTAGAGAAGCCCACAGATGTTATTTTTCCTATTCTGAAATATAGAGAGCCTTTTGGGAGAACGGTAGGTATCACTTTTTTCCCAGAATTAGCTCACCTTAAAGACTTTAGTTTCTCCTTCAGCCTAGTTAGCCTAGATGCAAACAAAAAGCTTTTAGTTTTTCCACTACAGTGCCACTTGACACATGTTTTGACATGAATTGAAAAAGCACTACTTGCTTGGCTACTTTTACACAATCAAAAAAATAATTAGCTATTGAGTAAAGTGTCTGAAGTCCATTACCCCTGTCTGTGTCTGATTACACACATACACACAAAACCCCCCAATTTCCTAGGATGGTGGCTTCATCTAGCACAACTCAAAGACTGGAGCACGTAAAAAAACAACATAGATTTCCCTGAACAGAAGGAAATTCATTCTGCGGTAACGTTCTCCTTCCTTGTGGGAGACATGCTGAGATTCTTAAAAGCAGACTACATTGCATTACTCCTTCAACACGTTTGGTCAATGAAGAAGGTTCATGACAGCCAATACATGATCTGAAGACAGTCGCCACAATCTACTACCTTCAGTAGCTGGAAATGAGATTTTTTTTTTTTTAATTTAAAATACAATATAATTACTGAATAAGTTATTAAATACTTCTGAGGGCATAGGATATTCTTTGAGTCATTCTCAGGGCTAAATGATCAAACGAGCAACTCTTCTAACTACTGTACTTCAGAAACAAACATTTAGAGATTTCTTTCTTTACCCATATAACCGACGTAGTATATTTGGTGGTTTTCCTAAAATCATCACACGCCCTAGGGAGATCAGCCTCACAATCAAAATCTGAGCTGCTAGGTGTGAACTTGTTAGCACGTTCTGCTTCACTAAGCAGCTAATCTTAAGGAAGGTCAGAAAGCAGCTACTATTTTAAGAAAATCTAGTTTAAACAACAGCATAATCAGGGTTAAAAATAAGAGGACTGCTTACTGGTAGGTCATTTTCTAAAGTGAACCTACAGCACCTTAATTAAGATTGCCTTCGATATATTAAAATTCATTTTTGAAACGGACATAAATTCACAAGTACAGCCAGATGATGTGGCTGCTCATTGGGCTGCTGTTCTCCTATATGTATGAGACAAGCTGAGGCAGTATGGGCAGCATTCCAGAAAAGAGAAGGTAAAAGTAACAATTTACAAGGAGAGGGGGGACAACTTTGAAGCATGTCCAGATTGGATGCTGGGTCAGACACTACTCCGTGTTTACAAAGTTGTTCTTTTTCACCTCTCCCTCCAACTCGTGATCACAAGACAATCCATCAACTTCATGAAACGAATTGAGTTTCGATGACATATGTTCCCAAGTTCGCTGTTCACTTTGCTAAAATAAATATTTACATGTAACAAAATCCAGAACTCCTCAGAAATCACACAACTTGGTTATGTAGGCTTATTTAGCACTGCTAAAAAAAGATTTGAATATTTACAGTTCCTCAGAGAAACAAAATCAACTGTAAAAGTTACATTCTACAGAAGCAGAGAATCATGGCTGGGGACAGAACTGGTTTTACCCCCCACTATCACGTTGCTGGCCCACAAGTGTGTTTGAAACGGAACATCATAAGGACTTGTGGCACGAGGTAACTGCCCTTTCAAGAAACAACCTTCAAAATCTAACATCCCCCATGGAGACACCTCTTCAGGCAGTACGGGTGGCAATGTCAGAGCACTGAGTCTGCAGCACTACAGGTCACGGGGCACCCAGAAATTCCTCGGGATGGCACCTTCCATACAGGTCATCGAATTACTCGCTTCATTGCTCAGGGTTACTGATGCATCTTCAAGTCTATGTATCTTGTTTTAGGGTGAGACACTTGAATTTTCCTCTAAAATGGAATGTTTCTTCCCCAAATTCCAATAGCGACCACCTCAACTGGGCATAAACTGAGTGTGCATGAGGGACTGATTTGTCGTGGTGTCTGCAGACACACAGCTGAGTGTCCATACACTAACCAAGAGGACATACCGGTTCATCACCTCGTACTGCTTCAAATTGCAACACTTCAACAATGTTCTTGTCCAACTGCAGTTCTTGTCCACCACAAACTCCAAGATCATCAAGCTGTTCTGTATCTCAATCAGCAGGTATCAGGTTTATATATCTGGGCAGCTGCTAAATCATTAAGTTAAATTAGATCATCTAGAATTGAGTATCTTCAGAACTTCAATCCCTAGGGTTGTACTTCAGCCACTAAAGCCATTTTATTTCCAAGACCCTAAGGTCAATATTAAGTGAGGATCCAACACAGATCCTAGCAGTTAGGCCAGAAAGGCTACAGGTGTGGCTATATTTTTTTATTAGGGTATTTTTTTATTAAAACAAACAAACAACTAAACTTTAAAATATTTCTAGCCCGTACAGCTGTGGAGACAGCTTTTCAAGTATGACCCAAGATTTAGACAATGCAATATCACAAAGTTATTCCAGCACCTTGGCCGTCAATCTTAGCAACAGAAGTGTTAACAGAACCTTAATGTTTACTATTTCTTGTCAGAATCATGCATGCAACAGGAAAACCATTAGTCATTTCAAACTTAAAATACTCTTTGCAGTGATGAAGAACGGTGGCACGAAGCTGTCACCCACACAAAAGAGGGTGGGGAGGACATTATTTGTGGGTAGATAATGAGGAATAAAAAAGCAAGGAGAAGCAAAATGGAAAATTCATAGCTCCTCCAGAAGACTTTGGATGTGAAGGAACAGCTTTTTAAAGAGTTTTTGCATCTTCCTCCGGTTGCAAAGTAGAGCCACTCTGCTAGTTTTAAATAATAAAAGTTAACAACGTAAAAAGCAGCTACCAGAATGGGACAAGGGGGTACTTTCTCTTTAAAACACAGCAGTTGGGATGCCAAGGCTCCTCACCAGGGTGTTATCACAACACTTTCTGCGATCATGCACACCACGATCCGCTGCTCTTCCATATCTACCCCTGACTAGTCAGGTTTAGCCTTCTATCTTGTAAACTTCTGCTAATCCTGCCCAAGTCCTGACCAGCCAGGTAACCGTACGAACACGCTCCTCCAACCAACCAACCATCGTTATCTCAACATCAAAAATCACCGAAGACAATAAATAATCAGCTTTGCTTTTTTAAAAAGGCTTACTGTTTTATACATATTCTTTCCACTAAAGGTGTCTACAAGTCTCTCAGTGTGGGTCTAGAGGGAGCAATGCAGCTTGAAGACAGACATCCCTCAGTCACTTCCAGGCGAGCGCACTTATCGGAGCAGTACAGTGCCATACGTGCGAGAGCAGATAGGATGGCTCTGTACTTAGCCTAGCTGATTCTGGCTCTTATTAAGCACTAGATCAGGAATTGCTGAACTGTACGTTGTTTTGTAACAAAGCCATAACCACGTAACACCCCTCCCATCAGCTTTGCCAGCCTCACACAAATTTGAGATGTGACAGGTATTACAGAATGGGAACAAACGACCAAAAAATGACAGTTTATTCAACAAACACTACAGAAATACAGCAGCAACAGGTGCTGTTGATACTGCTCAAGGTAAAGGTGATGAAAAGTATGTGCGAGTTTGGACTTGCCAAGCCAGGGAGCCCTCCAACCCACCAGATTCCAGCCTTCTCAGCAGCAGAACAGCAGGGATGGAGAAGCCACAGAAGCCCATCTCTACACGGCTCCTTACAGGAAGCAGTAGAGCACTCGTGTCCTCAATGCCAAATATCACTGGTATACACAAATTTTTCAAGAATTGTTTCTCTGGAGACTGACAGCCTAAGTGTGTACTCCTGCCGCCATCAGATTCTGAACTCGTTACGCTTCAAAGTTCATTCTTCTGCCCATTGTGCTCATTTCTGTATTTCATGTGTTTTCATCTACTGTTTCCCTTCCCCCTCCTTTTCCATTTCTGTCTTCCTTCCATCTTTCTCACACTTAATCTAACTCCCTTTGTCACCAGCTTTTGACAAGGGGGGAGAGGAAATAAAGTAATGCTCAAGTTATCACATTCCACATGCCCATTACAAGTCAGTGATGGTTGAGGCCCTTCTCCCTAAACGGGGCGCTATTTGCTTTCATGAATTCTGGACCCCTCATTTGGATTAAAATCTCTGTAACATTCAGCATGTTCCCAAAAACTCAGTAAAAAGTTATGAGAAAGCGGATTTTGAATTTTGGAATGCAAACACGAAAACTTAACTCGTCTTATCAAAGTAATTCTTAATCTTTCAAGACGGTACACGTGCTTGTTAAACTCATCCAGGGTAAGGACTGTACCTACAGATAAAACTTTTGCTGCGATGTCAAAAGCAACCAAGAACAAGTGTCAACGTATTCTAAGTTATTAAGACACCATAAATTGTAACGTTTAATAAAATTACATAACAATACGTATATTCACATTATAAAACTGTTCACATTTATGCTCTGACCTACTTAAGCAAATTGTTTTTCCCCAATTGCACAATTATGAACCAGAGCAGAAAAATCAGACTTTATGAAGTTAATAAATCAATTCTGTGGCATTACAAATTATTAAAGTTATTATTTCAGAGTCTGCAGTCACCTCATTATGACTTTCTATGGGGTATATTTAAATATATCTAAGATATATCATTTTGTTTCCCCAATACTTTTATTATTAGTCATAGATAACATTTCTTTCAATCAACTCAAACTAACTTCAGATTATACATTGAAACTATTGGTTTGCTCACAAAAACAAATCACAGAAACCATTAAAGGAAAGCTGGTACTTTCTCCCTGGCTATTCCTACCTTCCTCATACCTCAGAAGACATTAAATGATTTTATGTTCTCTTTTGTAGCAGTAGACAGAAAAAAAAAAAAAAAAAAAACGGGAAAATACCGCATTTGATCCAATAGATAGTTTGCATCAAGTAACTCTGGCTCCATTTTAAGTGTTTCGAACTGGATAGGTCCCAGCCAAAGTCACCTCCCCACCCAACTTTCAAAGAAAGTGAGCAACTTAAAACCACATGCTGCTCCATATCTAAAAATGAGCTCAAAACCCATGTACCCCATGTTCAAGTGCAGTCAGATTAACAAACATGTTAACAAATGAACAAGTGTTCAAATTAACAAGCACTCAAAGGACTGGTACTACTTATCCTCTTCCAGCAACACTATGCAGTCTCTTGAGGAGGAGCAAGTAGTCCTGAATTAGAGATGCTAATGCCAAAGAAGAACATTTTAAAGGATGCAACACAGTCACTTTAATAAAACATATAATTGGAAGATTTGCAACTCAAAGTTGAAACAATTTCAGTACCACCAAAGATCTCATGCATAGTTTTTATGATTCCTCTACTTACAAACTGGAATCGAGACAAAATATTTCCAGTGAAAGCATTTTTCTTCGAGCAGTCATTTTTTTTGCAATTAATGCTCTGAAAGGATTCAGCAGAATCCTTTCCTAAAATTCCATGAAGTAAAATATATCCAAACGCAAATGTTTTCAGAACACCACATCCAAAGTGTTTCACAAAGCTGCATAAGGTCCCCAGAACTTCTAACTCGTAAAAGAATAGTGAAGACAATACTAAAGAGATCAGATAAGAACAGCTCCAGCTCCTAGATACTTTCTTTCCTCAGAAGTCACTAGCAAGAATACAGTAAGCATTAGTTTTGAGGTGATAGTATAACGTTTCCCCTTCTATCACTAACAGCATGATTCAGGTATAAAATTAGTTTTGAAAGCTGATAGAGAAAAATTATCCTCTAGGCACTGAAATGCAGAAGTTTAGCACCACAGCACCATTTCCATTCTTCTAAGAGAGAAGCAATTCCAAGTAGTTGCTGCGTATTAACTACAAACCAAGAGCCAGAGAATATTGCTTTGCATAGATTTCAGACAGCAGCTTAACACTCAACTCCCACCTCTAAAGTCTACACATGCTCCCTTAAAAGAAAGCCTGTCCTCATTGCCAACAAAGATAATGAATTTTTCCTTCTGATTACTTGACAGTTTTACCCCAACTGCCAGTGACCATTAGCAACGGGGATGCTGGGTTTCATAAATTGGTTTTTCTTCTTCTGCTGAAATATTACCTGAAGCAGTTAGTCAAGACATCATTTAAAACCAGGAGTTGTAGTTATTAAAAGGTCACACGAAATTTTATTAGGGCTATAACTGAGATCCTCCTGCTCCAGACGAAGCATAACTTACGTTTTAATGTATTTCGGCTAACTGAGAGACGCCTTCTTTCAAAATATTAGATGGATGAGTAGAAGCAGGCAGAAACGTATGCAATTTGTTCTGGAAAATAACTTTGTTAATTAAATTTACACACTTTATACATAGAAGACACTAGACATACAGTCATAAAGGCATCCATTTGGACCTTTAAAATGCTTTTCGTTCGTTGCCAAATGGACGATGCGTGCTGAGACATAAGCACCTCGGGGCACAACATAAACAGCTGAACAAAAAATTTATGCCAATAACTGAGAATTTGCCAAGCCCGTGAGAAATTAACACACAGGAGTTTTCTGCTTAAGTGGAACTTAGTTCAAAGGAATGAGAAATATTTAAAGAAATCTAAGAAAAAAATTGAACTACACAGTATACTTTTATAGCAGTAATGTTACAAAACTTATATGCCAAGGTGTCAGCTGACAGGAGAGACTGCAATTCAGCCAAACATCCCAAATATTCCTTTAAAAAGCACTGATCCTTCTTCATGTTAAACTAATTATTCTAAAGGTCCACTGCATAACAGTAGCTTGCAAGAGACTTGAAACACCAGGAACTATACAATAACAAGATACACTATACATGAGCATTTTTAAAATTAGTAACTTTGAAAATTTAATAAACATTCGATTATTTAAGAAGCTCATGATAATGTTGCAAGATGAGCTAAAAAACAAGCCTCAGCAGAATCTGAATTTGCCCTCTAATTCAGACTTCACTAACTCTACAGCTGGAATAAATTAATCTTTTGGATCACAACAATTACTATTAAATCAATGCACTCTAGATTGCACTATTTGTATAGAACTTAGCCATGTAATTTAACCAATGAGACAATGGTTCAAAGGCAGACTAAACACAGGGCTGGAATTAGAGCCGAATGGAATTCAT